CAGAGTAAATTTTCATAACAATTATTACTATACTATTATTATTACAAACGGATATTTTTTCGTATCTTGTAGTACTTTCAAGATTAATTTATTATTCCGACCACTGAAAAACAAATAAAGGGAGTTTAAAAATAATAGAAAAAACAAACAATTTTCTATTTATTTTTTTTAATTTCAACATTAATAACATTCTTTCCTAATTAAAGGTGTAAATATTACTAAAATTAATTTCAGTGTCAGTTTCAAAATATTAAAATTTTCAGTGACGTATTCACTTTTTCAGAGTAAATTTTTATAACGATTTTCTCCTTTCTTATGGACTACTATTGTTAGAAACGCATATTTTTTCATATCTTGTAGTACTTTCAAGATGAATTAATTCCGACCACTGAAAAACAAAGAGTGAAAAAAATAGAGAGAAAAAAGGTACGTTAAAAATAATTGAAAAAACAAACAATTTTCTATTTACATTTTTTTATTAATTTCGACATAAATAAACATGCATTCTTTCCTAACAAAAGTGTAAATATTACTGAAATTAATTTCAGTGTCAGTTTCAAAAAATTAAAATTTTCAGTGGCGTATTCACTTTTTCAGAATAAATTTTCATAACGATTTTCTCCTTTCTTATGGATTATTATTGCTAGAAACGCATATTTTTTCATATCTTGTAGTACTTTCAAGATTAATTTATTCCGACCACTGAAAAACAAATAGTGAAAAAAATAGAGAGAGAAAAAAGGTAAGTTTAATAATAATCGAGAAAAACAACAATTTTCTATTCACTTTTTTTTCCGAGTTTCCACATAAATAAACACACATTTTCTCCTAACTAAAGGTGTCAATATTACTGAAATTAATTTCAGTGTCAGTTTCAAAAAATTAAATTTTCAAGAACGTACTCACTATTTCGGAGAAAATTTTCATAACGATTTTCTCCTCTCTTAACGACCACAAAAAATAAATAGTGTAAGTAATAAAGAAGGAAAAAAGCTAAGTTTAAAAATAATCGAAAAAACAAACAATTTTCCAATTATCACAAAATTTACGGCCCTGTTTCGGCTTTTATTATTCCATTTCGGTTCCTGCAACTATCTTATTAATAATTTTATGGCTTCGTGTCAAAACTTTACGAAACATAAATCAATATTTTAACGAGACGTAATTTTCAGGCATTTTCAGGAAAAAACTAATTTTTTCTTGGACATTTTCCTGCATTGCAACCACTGGAAAATATCACACGAATAACGTCTAAAAATAGGCTTCGCACCTTTAATTGCTAGAGTTTGCTATTTTTAAGTTGGATTTAATTAGAGATGAAGCAACAAGTAACTTGTTTAATCACAAGACGTCACGTTCTTGTGACAGATAGCTTATTTCCTTAGCTGGATATTTCGCTAACATGGCGGATTGTGTTAGCTTAATTAGACTTGAACTAATCTCCATTGCGGGCACCCCAATTACTGCAGTTGGCAAAAAGGGTAAATTATTTTTTGCCACCACTCTGGATAAATTTCTCGATTTGTGAAAATATTTAAGTAAAATTTTTCATCTTGTTAAAAAAAAATTAAAAATATTGATAGTGGCGATAATCATGCGCACGACCATACGCTGAACGCAACTCTGATGTTGTGAGGCAGTTTTCCAGCAACGCGCCTGAAAACCACCACCACCTCCTGAAACGCGGCGCGAGCTTGAAAGTTTCCGCGAGTTTCAGCAGTGATGAAAAAATTCTGAAAAAACTCCAGCATGTTGCTGTAAGTGGAAAACCTGAATTATGAAGATTATTGGGTCGAAAACTGATTTTGTATTTTGACACAATTAATGATTAATGGTGTTGTTTTAGGGTTATCTTAATTACTTGCAATGGATTAAAACGTTGCTTTTAGGGCTTAATAGTCTCTGCCATATGCCGGAAGTAAATTAATTTTAATGCTAATCAGGCCGTAAAATTGTTGCGCTCTTTTCTTTGTTATCGTTCATTTATCACTCACTTTGTCAGTTACAATATTTCACACGAAAAATATTTACTTTAAAGCTGCCTCCAAGGGAATGGTTTATTTCATTGCGATTGCACTTTAAACCTCTAATAGAAAATGACTTGAAATATCGAATTAGCTTCAAGTTAGTGCTTGGTTAATTTATTTTCGGCTACAGACAACGTCCTAAAAATAACAACTAATAACACGTATTGTACTTCTGGTTTATTTTCACTTAAAAAACAAGACACTACACGATTATAAAAAAAATCAATAAAAAATACATCACATTTAATTAATATCTGTTAAAATTCTTGTGTCAAGGTGAAACGCACAGAAACAATAACTCGGCATTTTGAGTTGTTAAATAATTGTTAATTAAATTATCGCATAAATATTTAAATTTGCATTTACCGCTTAAGCTAAAATTAGCTGTTATTTATATGATGTACAAATATTTTAAATTCCAACAAAAATACAGTACCCATACCCTCGGGTAATAAACATAAATTTTTTCCTAACTTGGTAAAAAAAAGAATATTTTTGAGGGCAATATACAGCATACTCCAAAAATACCTCTTTTTAGTGATTTTTTTATTTTGAAATTGGTTAAAATTTTTATTAATCTATTAATTAAATGTCTCTCAATTTACCTAAATTAAAAAAATGTATAGAGGATGTTTTTGAAAAACACAACAATTAAATTGGCACACGCCAAAAAGTTGTAAATATTACTAAAATTGTAAATTTTTCAAGTTTTAATAGGTATAAATAGTGTTGCGTATTTCCAAATAAGCCTGTATATTTTGAATAATTTTTTGTCCTCTTTGTGCTTTTTTCTGACTTCGGAAACTTCCAAATTTTCGTTTCAATTTTTACAACTGAAGGCAATTTACCTCAGGGCATCCCAACCTCTTTCCAATTAAAATGAAAATTGTACAAAAATGTTGGGTGATTTTTGTGTAATAGCCTAATTTTGAAATTAGTTAATTTTTATTAATGATTAAATAAAAAAAATGAGTCAATTTACCAAAATTAGTAAAATGTATACAGGGTGTTTTTGAAATCCATATTAATATTTAAACTAAAAATTAATTGCAAATTCAGACTCAAAAAATTATTTTTTTTTCTCAAGGATTATTATTCGAAACGGATAATTTTTTGTAGGTTGTGGTACCTTCAAGATTTATAGTGATGTGCATTTCAAAATCACTTTGCATATTTTGAATAACTTTTTGTCCTCTTCGTGTCATTTATCTTATTTCGAGAAAAATTTTTCTTGATCAAGAAAAAAGTTTCTATTTAACAAAATTGAAAAAAAAGTATACACGGTGTTTTCAAATAGATGACAATATTTAAATTAATTTCAGTGTCAAAAAATTAAAGTTTTAAGGTGCAAACCCACTTTTTCAGACTAAATTTTCTTACAAAATTTTTTGGTTTTGTGAATAATACACAGAAATAAATGGATACTTCAAAACCCAATTTTTTTCGTATCGCTTCCATAGTGAAGGAATATTTTTTAAATTTACGAAAGTGTAAAAAAAAACTCGATATTACATAAATTCACCCTATACAGGGTGCGCCAGAACTCGCGCCTCAGAGAAAAATGCCATATAAGGTAAGATACCAGGAACATGGAAAAAATGTTAAAAAAAAATATCTATAAAAATTTCGAAGTTATGAGGGTTTAAATTGTGCACTTTGACTCTATTTATTTTGGTTGAAAAAATAATTTTGCAAGTTTTTTTGCTATAGGCTATTAAAAGAGGAAACAAGGAAGCTGCATCTTAAATTGTAACTCTGTTCAATGTTATTTGTGGCTTTTATTGGCAAAATTTTTGTACCTCTCTTTTTCTTATTTCGAAAATTAATTTTTCTGATCAAAAAAAACTTTCTGTTTATCAAAATAGAAAAAAAAATGTATACATGGTGTTTTCAAATACATAGCAATATTAAACTGCTACCTGCCAAAAAAGTGTATTAAAATTCAGATTCAAAAAATTAAAATTTTCAGATGCAAACCCACATTTTCAGACTAAATTTTCATATCTAACGATTTTCTCCTTTCTTATGGACAATCATTAGAAAAGGATTTTTCGTAGCTGCGGTACCCTCAAGATTTATTAAAGTGTCGTATATTTCAAAATCACTATGAATATTTAATAATATTTAATACACATTTCTAATATAGGTTTTGGATAAAAACTTTTTTTTTCATTTTTGTGAATAATACATAGAAATAAATAGATATTCCAAAACGTTATGATGGAATATTTTTTTAAATTTTAGCTTTTTTCATCAACTTACGAAATTGTTAAAAAACTTATATGAGAACTCGATATTTACACCAAGTCACCTTGTATATTTTGAATATTTTTTTGTATTCCTCCTTTTTTCCTTATTTTGAAAATTATTGTTTTTGTCCAAAAAATTTTAAATTTCGTACGTAGTGCTTCTACAGCAGTATTTTATTTTAACTTTTTAGGATATGACGTTTCCCAATCCTAATTGAAACATTTATTATAAACATTTCCAACATGAATTTTAAATAAAAGCTGTTTTTTTTTTAATTTTGTGAATAATAGGAATAAATGAACATTTCAAAATGACAAACAATTATGAGAAGAAATTTAATATTAACTTCTATTAAATTTTAGCTTTTTTTCATCAATTTACAAAAGATGAGAACTCGTTATTACACAAATTCACAGCAGCTTAAGACCCATATTATGGAAGTTTTGCAATTTTTATTTTTTGTGTAATTTTTTGCACTAAATTTCTTCAATTTATTTTTATTAAACAAATCTGCCATTCGTTCGCCTCCAAACCGCCCCTTTGTGTATTTTTACCTTTATGATTGTTATCACAGCTCGCTTTCTTCGCATTTTTGCGATATTAAGCGAACTGAGACTGGAAAATGAGGTGACGTCCATCACTGCGAATATCACAGACGGTAATCTAATATTGTGTTTCCGTAGATTGTTCTAATCTGACACTATACCTAATCCGCGTAACTCACTTGTTCCGTCTGTAATTAAATCCAGACAATAAAGTTCCAAACCAATTAATAATTAAATTTCCGTTTCACATCCCGATTCAAAACTTGACCGAATTTCACCCAAACTCCAATTCTTTCGCTCCGATATTTCCCAAGGATTAATTTCGCCTTTTCCGCGTGAAAGATGAGCAATTTCGCTCGATTCATTGTTTCACTCGTGAAAGAATTAACCCTCCGTGTACAATAAACAAGAAAATTAACTAATCTTAATGGGGTGAAAAAATTTCGCTCGACATTTCATTAAAAGACGTATAAGAATGAGTCGCTGTTAATTGATTAAAGTTTATTAAAAGATTTTTTGCCCCAAGACCGTCATAATGGCACAAGTAATTAATTATACGAAATGGCCAACTCTTGAGTTTTGATTCTCTCGAATAAAAAGCGCAAATGTCGTAAATTTATGACAATCTATGCTGATAACAGTCAATAACGCGGTTTTGTTACGACCTGAAATGATCATTTTCAGAAAACGGTTCAATAGTTTATTGGGGGAATTAAACCAGGATTTTTTTTAGATAGTACACAATGTAAAAATTTCAACACTTGTGGTAGAAATGGAGTTTTCCCAAGCCAAACATTTCTACCCCGTCTTAATTAACAGCAAGTTGACTTAACTAATATTCACGTAAAGTTTAGTGGGGAAACCTCCTATTGTGCTCCTTACAAAAGCGTAATTTTCCCAAGTATGCAGATTGTGAAAATTCGCAACTTTCGAATCACGTTTTCTATTTTGCCAAAATTGAAATTTCGTGCAATATTTTAACACACAACACGTCTTTGAGTGATGTTAGTTTGACGTCGCAGATGTTTACTATTTCTGATTTCTGAAAGTGTCGAAATAATAAATCTTTTAAGGCTGATAGTAAACTTTATATCGAATAATAAAAAACAAGTTTAGGATTTAATCTGCGACAGTATATCGTCAAGTTTTTATTTTATTTTACGACTCGTATTACCTTAATAATAATCATAACGAAAATTTGTCACTTGATACTTGTTTTTATTCAAACATCGCAAACTTTAATTAAACTTACGTAAACCGTAATCAAAGCTCTCAATTTCTTCCTCAAACGACATAAATAACGCTTTAAAACTAATTACAAATTTTTAATAACCTCAGAGAGAAATAACGTTTAAAAAAATTACAAACATTTAACTGTCTGATGGCTTGTTTTAAAAGGAGAAAATCAAACTGTACGCTTATTAAACACCTCGGTTACTTCCAAAACGTGGATTAACCTTGATTGCGAAGCTTTATGAAATGGTTCGACAATAAGCATTCATCGATTTGCTTTTTCACCTCAAATTAAAACGGCGGCCGGTAATGAAGCCTTTACGACACCGAAACCACAAAAAATCTTAACTAAAAACTGGCCATAAATCTGACACAAATCAGACATTGTTATCAACATATATTACCTCAATTACAGCAAAAACAAAGTTTCTCTCTGATGTCAGATTAGCGATAATTCACTAGAGCGGAAAAGTTTTTACACATTTCAAATGCCGTAAAAAGTACATAATGCGTGAATCCAGTTCCAGTGCTTTGCAAATCATTTACTTGCTTAGTTTTTCAAGTTTTACAACACTAGAGCAATAAACATAGACATTATAATTTATTAATTTCTCTGGAGTGTATTAATGATATTAAATTACTAGAGCAAAAAAAGAAAAAGTTGATTTTTGCAAAACGAATTTCTTAAACACTTTATAAATGTTATACATTTTTAGTGTAGTAATAAACTCATTATTACTACACTAGTGCAGTAATGAAATTGTTATGTTATGAAGCTGTTAGCTGCTATTATTAAACAGGGAAACAAAGTGGGTTTCGCAAAACAAATTTCCAAAAAACTTTCTAAACTTTAAATGTAATAATAAAATAATTGCTACACTAGTGCAGTAATGAAACTGTTATGACACTCACGTGGTAGCGAAGCTATTGCTATTATTATTAGTAAGGCTCGGATTATATGCACGAAAAAATCGTAAAATATGCTCATATACAGGGTGAATATAAAGTATGGAACCAAGCGGTTTTATTTTTAATCATATTGCCTACAGAAAATAATAATTAATATAAATTAAAGTAATATAAAAAATCTGATCGTATTTTCAGAACGAAATTTTGTTTTGTTTTTGAGTTATGCGATTTTTTTGTCAAAATTGCAATTTATGTGAAATTTTTTTTTTGAAAAAATTAAATATAAATCAGATAGTTGTAATCTTTAGAGTATAGCTTTTATGAGAAAAATGATTTTATAGTGGGTTGCCATTTAAAAAAATATTTTTTTTTGTAGAACTCAAAAACAAAAAGAAATTTCGAAAAAATTTATTCTTGTTAAATCATCACATTTTTATAGTACTTTATCACCCATCAATTAGTTTTTTCAAAAAATAAATAGTTTAAGCAAAAATTGTTTGGTTCCATACTTTTTATTCACCTGGTATATGCACGTATTTTCACAAAAATATGCACAAAATATTAAGAAATATGCCCCAACATATACTAAATATGCATCGATATGCAAAATTTTGAACAATAAAAAGTTAAACGTTTTTTGCTTAAAGTATTTTTTTTAAACTAATTGATTGATTATAAGGTTTTACAAAAACGTTTTATTCTTCGACACTGTCAAAATTTACGGTTTTTCTCCCGTGTAAGGAAGTTTTGACAACTGTTTGGCATTTGTCAATACAAAACGTCAAATTATTTTAACAGATTTAAAGCAAGTTTAAGCCTTGTTGACTCTAATTCGAAGAATAAAATGTTGTATTCCACTCGTTTGAGTGTAAATCGGACGCTTTATTCCACCTCGTGGATGGTAAACCACTCGTTACAGTCGTGGTTTAAAAATCCACTCGGTCAAATAAAGAGTCCGATTTACACTCAAACTCGTCGAATAAATAACTATTATCAAAAATAAAAAATTTCGAAATTTTTATTATTTTGTTTTTGTGTTTTACAAATTATTAATTATTAATTATCAATAATTTTTTTTAACTGGCAACCCACCAAAAAAAAAAACATTTTTTTCATGAAGGTCATGATCTAAGGGATTACTTTATATCTATTTGAATGCACAAATATGCAATTTCCTAAAATACGCACCAAGTTGCCAAAATATGCAATATATGCATTTTTTATTTGGATTATTTTAATCAAAAAACATTAGATATGCATAGAAAACTTACAATTTTGTTGATATACCTCTTAATAACAAATATGCATTTGGCATATAATCCGAGCCTTAATTATTAGTATTAAACCACTAGTGCGGAAAAGTCTTTTAGTTGCCATTTTAAAACATGGAAACAAAGACAAAGTTGGTTTTTGCAAAACGAATTCTTGTAAACTTAGAATGTAGTAATGAACTAATTGCTACACTAGCGCAGTAATGAAATTGTTGACACTTACGTGGTAATGAAGCTGTTGCGACCCTTAAGTGTCACTTTTTCTTCCAAGACCTGAAAAGACAAATTTTCAGGTTCAGTTTATTTTTTCTCAACACTACAACAATAATTTATGTTGGAAGTTGAGCGTCTGCTCGTAATGGAATCGTTTAAGTTCTAGTGCCGTAAAGCCACTTTATTCAATTAGTGCCTCTCACGTGGCTTTTTCTCCCTCAATCTCGCAGCATCTCTCATTAATTTTCCTTTAGCCCTCCTTGAGATAAATGTTGCAGAAAGTGGAATGCAATCCCATAAATCAAGAAAGTCACCTGTCGCCCTTGTAATTTTACGCCAAAAGTTCGCTCACCTCGATTAATTTTTCTGGTAAAAAAGCGTTTCATATGCAAAATGTGGGTGTAATTTTTCGTGCCTCGAGTCATCCCGACATTGAATAAAACATATTGGGACATGTGATCTGGATTTATGGAGGCTACAAGTGCCCCAAATCGACGTTATAAATAAGCATACGCCGTGAATTATTCAAGGCAAAACGTTTTTATTATTTTTTGGGGCCGAGTGTAAATACAGACGGTTGGACTTTAGTGGCGCTACTAAATAAATGCCAAATGTTATGTCTTGGCCGAATTTTGAGATAAAAAACAAGCGTGATGAAATGAAACTCCGAATTTCAAATGAAATCAGTTTTTTATCCGTCTCTGGTAACAAGCGAGCCGCAAAAAATATTGACTGTGTAAGACGAAAAAAATGATTAAATTCACATCACAGCAAATCGAGTTTTTCCGACAAAAAATAAGCCGTTATTACACCAGCGATTTTTGATTACAAATCCACTGACAACACGTATGAAATAATCCCGTTGACTAACACCGATTCGAAGCGCGAAAAATTTGTTGTATTTCATTCGTGATTAAAATTCAATCCGGGGACTGAATCGCCCAATTAGGCGTAAATTCGAAATCAAGAAAGCTTGAAACTGATGCAAAAAACGCAAGAAAATAATTTATAAGTCGCTGCGAAATTTCTCTCGCCACAAAAAAACGCGACGTCTCTCTTATTGTCCACATTAAACAGCACAAACATTCCTAAAATATATTTCTTTCGGCAAAAAGCAGACAAATCGTTGCGCTTTTTCACCGAAATCAAACGTTCCAGATTCTGGCTGTGGCTGAGTCTCCCTCCGGCGGCCCCCATGATGGGCATCCCGGCCAGCGGGCCGGCCCTCAAAGAGTGTCTCTGCGAGGAGGTCAAGTGCCGGTGCAGCGGCCCGGCCCTCATGGACGTCCCCAACAACCTCCACAAGGAGCTCGTCAGTCTGTGAGTCCTCCAGGAAATTTGCAAAGAGGAAATTGACAAATCCTTTTCAGGGTGATCGAGGACGCCGGGATTGAAGTGCTGAAAAGCGACTCGCTTGGGCCCTACTCAAGCACACTGCGAGATCTGTGAGTTTTGTTAAACTAATTGATCGATTTGGGATTTTTGGGTTTATTTGCAATGTTTCATCTTTATGTCCCTCTGAAATGGAAGCACTTGATTTGATGAGAGACTTGGCTTTGATTTGGACTATAAAGCTGTTTGCCGGCCCAAATACAGTCTTTTATTGGGTTGTATAAATGTTCGATTGTCTGTTTCAGTACTTTGTTCAACGTGGAAAACTTCTACTATTTTGAAACGGGCGTTTTTCAGCACTTGAGGCAATTGCAGACAATGTAAGTGATAATTACCGAACGCTTTTTCCGTTTTTGATTTTTCTTAAGACACACAATAACGGATGATTTATAAATAGCACGAATTGCATCGACTTTTGATTATCTTGTTTATGCTTGAATTAAGAACGATTAATTTCCTGCATGATGGGTCGGATTTTAAGTTGATGGAGATTGAAACGAGATCTAATTCGTGTCGTCTTGATTAATGACACATCAGACAACGTCTAATTAGCTTTACTGACCTCAACTCGAAGTCTGTCTTCTAATTAGAAAACTCGAAACACACAAATTTTAAACTCATAAATCTTGTAAAAAGCTGAAATAAGATTATTGTTCGAGTCAAACAATCAAGGTTTATTAATTTTAAGCCGCGATAATACCGCGAGTATGAATTTCTGTCTGTGATTTCAACGTTATTGCACTTTTTCTCAAAGGAATATTAAAATTGAAATAACAGTGTTGCAGGTAAAGACATTTCGGAGCTTTAATCGATTTCCTTGTTCATGCAATTGAAAAATTAACTGAATTTTAAAAAATACCTAATCCTGTTTCCTTTACATTCAAGTTTCTTACCACAGAGGAAATCCTCTTGGCAGTCATAAGCAAGCAGGAATTATTTTTGTTAACGTTTTTACCGCTCTGTAGTTTCTCCCCTAAGGGAAAACAGGCTTGTCTCATCGTCATATGTTAAGACTTTACTAAAATAGACATGAAAGGATCTCCTTAATTGAACAAAAACAAAAATAAACTGGAAACAATTGCGTTCGCTGACCCGGCGCATCCACCAAAATTACTCAAAATTTACACAGTGTCTCAACATTTTAATGAAACGTACTTTTTCACTGAATTTTATAAAGTCAAGACATAATTTTTGTACAAATTCCTTAACAGAATGAAAATAAAAATTGACCGGAAAAAATTGTATTTTTATCACCCGGCGCATCCACCAAAATTATTCAAAATTTACAATGTCCTAACCTTTTAATGAAACGTAATTTTCTACTAAAATACAATAAGTAAAGCTATAATTGTTGTAGAAATTAATTAACAGAATGAAGATAAAAATAAATGAAAAAAAATGCATTTTCACACACCCGGCGCATCCACCAAAATTACTCAAAACTACATAATGTCCTAACACTTTAGTAAAACGTATTTTTTTCTGAAATTCAATAAGTCGAGCTACAATTATTGTATAAATTTATTAAAAGAATAAAAATTAAAATAAACAAAAAAAAATCCTTTTCACAGACGCATCCACCAAAATTACTCAAAAATTTACACTATTCCATGATTTTAACAAAACGTCATTTTTCACTAGAATTCAAAAAGTAAAGCTATAATTCTTGTATAAATTCATTAACAGAATAAAAACAAAAACAAAAATAAACTTAAAAATATGTATTTTTGCAGTCCCCACGCATCCACCAAAATAACTCAAAACTACACAGTGTCTCAATATTATAATGAAACGTAATTTTTCAATGAAATTCAATAAGTCAAGACATAATTTTTATACAAATTCATTAACAGAATGAACATAAAAATAAACAGAAAAAAATGCATTTTCACAGCCCCGGCGCATCCACTAAAATTACAGTGTCCTAAAATTTTAATAAAACTTAATTTTTTTCTGAAATTCAATAAGTCAAGCTACAATTCTTGTATAAATTTATTAAAAGAATAGAAATTAAAATAAACAAAAAAATCTTTTTCACAACCCGGCGCATCCACCAAAATTACTAAAAAAATTTACAGTGTTCCAAGATTTTATTAAAACGTCATTTTTCCCTAGAATTCAATAAGTAAAGCTATAATTCTTGTATAAATTCATTAAGAGAATAAAAACAAAAAACAAAAATAAACTTAAAAAATATGTATTTTCACTGTCCATCCACCAAAATAACTCAAAACTACACAGTGTCTCAACAATTTAATGAAACGTAATTTTTCACTGAAATTTATGAAGTCAATAATTTTTGTACAAATTTCTGATCAAAATGAAAATAAAAATTAACTGGAAAAATTATTTTTAATCACCCGGCGCCTCCACCAAAATTACTCAAAAAGTTTACAACGTCCTAATCTATTAATGAAACGTAATTTTTGTACTCAAATTCAAAAAGAAAAGCTTTAATTCTTGCACAAAATGATAAATAGAATGAAAATAAAAATAAACTTAAAAAATTAATATTTCACAAACCCGGCGCATCCACCAAAATTACTCAAACTATACCCTTCAAATTTTAATAAAATGTAATTTTATTCAATAAGTAAAAGGATACAAGTTTGAAACAAATTTATAAACAGAATAAGAATAAAAGTGAAGTGAAAACTTTTTACTTTTACTAACCCGGCGCATCCACCAAAATTGCTCAAACGGCACAAGTTTCATTTTAACAGAATTTTCTCACTAAAATTCAATGAACAAAGTTATAATTCTTCTTCTAAACCGATTTAAAAAACGACAGAATTTTTTTACAAGATTTAATAATGTCTAAGCCTTTAGATATTGCATTTTAGTGCGACATAAAATTTCAGGATTTCTTTATCGGATTAATAAAGGCTGATCCACAAAATATGCGCTCTAAAAGTCGCCAAACTTAAAATTTTTATCAATACTTTTTGGGATTAGAACCACTTGAGGTATTTACAAACTTTTCCCGATATCAATTTAATTAGGAGAAAAGAAAAATGTGACAAATTTAATTAAACGAGGCAACCCAAGCAGCTAATTATAAAACTTCACTTTAATTAACGTACGATAACAAATGCGGTGAGGTAAACGCTATATTTCTGTCTGGAAAAAATTCTAATGTTGTGAAAAGCCAATTTGTCATTTTATGCAACTTCAAAGAACCACTCAAACCCTGATTAGGAGACAGAACACATCCTCGCTCCAACTCTTGCTTTGTTGGCGAAATTTGCAAGCATTGCAGCGAGTCACTAAATCGGAAAGTAAGTAAATAAAGCTTAATTACAAATCTTTCAGATACATCCATCACGCTCCCAAACTCCTGAAAATCCAACCTGAGGTTTTCAGCGCCTATCTCCCCAACCTCAAGTTCTTGTAAGTAAAATATTTAATTACGACAATAATTAGGATCAATCTGTGCGAATTTCCGCCTTGCCGGTTACCTTGCGAATTACTATCAATATAACTCTCGCAATGAATTAATTAAGGAGACACACGTCTTTGCCACTCGACGTTGTCGGTGCCAAACCACACGTCATGCAAATTGCGACGCAAACAACACAAAAACTTCATAAATAACAAAGTTTAAAGCGCATAAATCGGTGTTTTTGCAGGAGGATCGTCAACACCGGATTGGAGGAAATGCCGAATTTCAACGGTTTGAACACTTCCTCGGTGTTGCACATGATGTAAGTGGGGAAATTTGCTATCGATCCGGGGAATTACATTAAAACGCGAACGCAAACATATGCTAAAGCTATCAATCTGAATAGGACAGTGCCCAAATAGCGCAAAAAATCAATTACGTCTACACGAAACTTGGACAAACTTGATCAAATATTCACGAGGCGTTCATTTTTCATGAGCTTGGGTCATTGTTGACCCTATTAAAAATGCATCAAACGACTCGATAGATTAGCGCCCTAAAGGTGGTGCTTTTTACAGAGATTTGGAGCACAACCACATCCAGAGGATCAACACTCGCCAAGTCAGCAGAGTCAAGGCCGAGCAACTGTAAGTAAAATAAACACAGAAAAGACTTCTGAAATTTTGAAATCTGAATTTCAGCTTGAAATCGATAATTGCAAGTTATACATTTTAAAATCACGATTTTAAGCTCAAAAATTAATTCCCAGTTGGAATTATTGTGTGTTTAATCAATTTAGAACTGAATAAATTTCATATTGTGTATTTTTGTCACGAATGCAGAAAATCATGAAATTATCAAAAAAAAAGAGAACTAATCGTAATCTATAAAATATTGCTTCAACATGTGTTACAGTTTTATGCAACTACAAATTTTACTTTAATAAAGATAAATTTGAACGTTTCACTATCCCGGCGCATCCACCATTTTTATTTTATTTTTTTAAATTTTATGATGTTGGTAACTGGAAGTAAATTGCTTTCTATGTTTTTACCAATTTTTCGAAATTCCGATAAGGATTATGAAAATATAAGAATATTCATTTCTAAATTGCGCACAATGACAAGCGTTTGTTTTCCAACTCGCCGCTACGCCGCTCGTTTCAAAATTTCAAACTCTTGCTTGAATGAATGTCTTCTATTACTCGTGTTTTAATATACTATTTATTTAAATTAAAAGCAAAAAACAAGCATGATTTTCATTACTTTTCAAAGATTGTTGTTTGCGAAGCAAATTTTTTGGAAATATTCAAAATCATAACTAAAAGTTTTACAACTTTTTTCATCATTTCAGTGGAAATTAGGCAGTTTTAAATTTAGTAATTTGCTTTCAATATTTATATTAAATATGCGGTGGTGCACAAAAATCTTAAAAATTTATTCCCAGATTAAGCACAATGACAAATCGCTTGTTTTTCACTCGCCGCTACGCGGCTCGTTTTGAAATTTAAAAACTCTTGCTTGAATGATTTCCTCTGTAACTCATGTCTTAATATACTATTTATTTAAGACAAAAACAAGATACAAGCATTACTATTATTATATTTCAAAGATTGTTGGTTGCAAAAATAATTTCTTAAAAACAATTAAAATCATGACCAAAAGTTTTAAAAAATCAACACATTTCTTGCACCATTTCAGTAGAAATTGCACAGATTTAAATGTAACAAAATGCTTTTAATATTTTTACCAATTTTCCGAATTTCCGGTGGCGCACATAGAAAAATTTTGAGAATTCATTTCCAGATTACTCACATTGACAAATTGTTTGTTTCTCCACTCGCCGCTACGCGGTTCGTTTTGGAATTTCAAACTCTTGGTTGAAGGATGTTTTTGTATCTTATGTTTTTTAATATACTATTTATTTAAAATAAAAACAAAAAACAAGTGTAATTATTATTAATATTTAATATTTTAAATTAAATAATTAATTATTATTAAAATCACAACGGAATTTATAAAAAAGCATAATTTTTTGTAACATTTCAGTGAAAATTACAGTTTTAAATTTAGCAAATTACTTTCAATATTTTTACCAATTTTCCGAATTTCCGGTGGCACACAAAAAAATCCTGAAAATTCATTTCATGATTATGCACAATGAGATATTGTTTGTTTCTCCACTCGCCGCTACGCGGCTCGTTTTGGAATCTCAAGCTCCTGCTTGAAGGATGCTTCTGTATCTCATGTTTTTTAATATAGTATTTATTTCAAATAAAAACAAAGTGCAATCATAATTATTATTACTTTTCAAAGATTGTTGTTTGCAAAAAGAATTCTTAAAAAGATTCAAAATCATGACTGAAAATTTAAAAAATCAGTACAATTTTTGCACCATTTTGGTGGAAATTACGCAGTTTTAAATTCAGCGAATTGTTTTAATGTTTTAATCAGTTTTCCGAATTTCCCGTTGCACACATGAAAAAATCACACAATGACAAATCGTTTGTTCCTCAACTCGCCGCTACGTGGCTCGTTTTTTAGATTTTCAAACACTGTTTGAATTTGTGTCTTCAATTACTCGTGTTTCAATATACTATTTATTTAAATTGAAAGCAAAAACAAGCATGCTTTTGATTACTTCTCGGAGAAAGTTTCTTAAATATTCAAAACCACGACGAAGTTGTAAAAACGAGCACATTTTTTGCACCATTTCAGTGGAAATTACGCTGTTTTAAATTTAGCAAACAGTTTGTAAACACAATTAGGTGAAAATAAACGGGAAACTAAGACGAATAACAAAAAACTGAACGTTCTCAAGTCCTGAGAGAATTCCTTGCAAAATAGATTTAACGGAAAACGTTTGTAAAAAGAAAGATCGAATTATACGTTAATTTTAGCATTTGCTTTCATCGGATTAGTCCAACATAATTTTCAAAGCGCATAATTAACAAAATTTTTCACAAAAATGAACAGCAACAAAACCGATAATGTCCTCATTTCAGGATGCTCAACCACAACGATTTACAAGTCGTCGAAGAGGCGGCGTTTGCGGGCTCCCAAATCGCCAATTTGTGAGTCAAACCGAATTTAGTTTATTTTTACCCCAAACCTACTCAAAGTAAATATTTCACAATGAAAAGTTTCCGCTTTACTCCTTTTGTTACCACCTAACTCGATTTGTACCCAAATTTTCAGAAGCCTGAGCGGAAACTCTCGACTCAAAGACCTCCACGTGAAGGCTTTCCACGGATTAGAGAGCTTGCGATACATGTAAGTATTTTTTAGAAAAAATTATCGTCATTTTGGGACTAGGCCTGTGGGCTCTTTATTGAGATAAAGGAATACTTGAAGTAGCTTCGCCGGCCCTTTTAACTAGATTACTCGCATCAAAGAGGAGGTCAAGGCTTCAACTTTAATTAAAATTATAAGT